CCTTACTGCTACGCCCCCCGCCACCCCCCATTACTCCCTCTATGTTACTCCCCCTCAGTTAGCCCCCCATTACCTCCTCTCTGTTATTCCCCTCCCTACCCTAACCCCCCAGTTACCCTCCCCTCTGTTACCTCCCTCTCTGTTACCCCCCCTCCCCACCCTCCCAAGGGAAGATAAAAGGGGAGTAAGGAAGAGAGACTTGAAGGCTGGAAGTGAAAACTGGAGCAGGTTTATTGGAACAGGGAAAGGGGAGTAACGTGGGTTGAGGAGCAGATCTATGAACTTACATACACACAAAACCAATCTCAAAGAGAAGGCTCCAGGAAGAGCTTAGAGCAGCTTCCAGGGCCTGAAGGGGCTCCAGGAAAGCTGGGGAGGGACTTGGGCCAAGGGCAGGGAGGGATGGGATGAGGGGGAGGGATGAAAAGTGGGAGAGGGAGCTGGAGGTTGGAGCTGAGGAGGGAATTGTGGAGTGTGAGTGTGGGGAGAGCCTGGGCCAGGTTGCCCAGGGAAGCTGTGGCTGCCCCATCCCTGGGGGTGTTGAAGGGCAGGTTGGATGGGGCTTGGAGCAGCCTGGGCTGCTGGGAGGTGTCCCTGCCCGTGCAGGGGGTGGGACTGGATGAGCTTTAAGGTCTCTTCCAACCAAAACCATCCCATGATAGCAGGAATAGGTGGGTGAGGGTCCCTTGCAGCAAGGCCAGCTCAGGAGAGGGGTCCAGAGCACGTGGTGAAGTGAAGCACAGCAGCACAAGGAAGAGGGGGCAGAAAAAAGGGGCTGGGCTTTTCTCCTGGGTTTTACAGAGTATGTCAGGAATCCAGACCCCTCTGTTCCAACCCTCCAGGCTCCTTCGGGGTCCTGAAGACCTTTCCTCCTGTCGATATCAGCAAATTTGCTGTGCCCTTTCAAACCAGAGCAGTGGGCAGGGGGTTGGGGTACAGAGCCCTTTGCCCCCTCCCCTGAGCTGCACTGGTCCTGGGGGAGCAGTGAGGAGCCCAGGATGAGCCCTTTGCAGCTCCAGCCCTCCCGCCAGGACCAGCAGACTGACTTTTCCTGCCTTCTTCCCACCCCGTTGGATCCCTCTGCTCCTTCCCCAGCCCTTGTGTGTGTGTCCCCCAGTGCAGCCACCCACGGGTGCCTGCTCAGCTCCTCTCTCTGCCCCCCAGGGATGATCATCAGCGGCATCTCCCGCCTCTGCTTCTCTGCCCTGGAGCCCTTTGGGGAGCTGCAGAGGGAGGTGGAGATTCACCGCACCTTCGTCTCCCAGTCCATCCATCTCTTCATCCTCTACTTCTTCAACATGGCTGTGCTGGTCACCTACCTGCCACAGGAGCTCCTCAAGCTCATCCCTCTGCTCACGGGGCTTTTTGCCATCTCCCGGTAAGTGGATGGGGCTTGGAGCAGCCTGGGCTGGTGGGAGGTGTCCCTGCCCATGGGGGGTTGGATCTAGGTGATCTTTAAGGTCCTTCCAACCTGAGCCATCCCATGATTCTGTGAAGTGGATCCTTAACCCTACCAGGTCAGTGCCCAGGGTGCAAACAGGGTCTGTCCATGGTGGCAAACACCATGCCTTGGTGCAAACTCCATCCTCACCAGGCCAGGGGAGCCAGCACAGGGGAAGGACCAGGGGTTGAAGGGCAGACAGTTGGACTTGATGGTCTTGAAGGTCTTTTCCAACCTTGATGATGATTCTGATTACTCCATCCCTCATCCCACCTGCCGCAGCAGCCATGCCTGGCAAACCCTCTCTGGGGCAGGAAGCCCTAGAGAAGCTGTCCCCAAGGCTTGACCCTGCCCCTCCCTGCCCCTCCAGGCTGATCTTCTGGCTGTCCTACGCCATGGGACGCGCCTTCCGCGCCTTCGGCTTCAGCATGACCTTCCTGCCCCTCCTGGCCATGCTGCTCTGGAACCTCTACAGCATGTTCATCCTGGAGCCCGAGCACCTCCTTGCTGTGGCAACACCAAAGCCCCAGGAGGGCCCCAAGGAGAGAGGAGCCAAACTGCGGTTCTGGGGCTGAGGGAGATGAGGTGACTGGAGGTGCAGAGGGGTCGAGCCCACCTCCCCACCCTCCCTTGGGACCCCTGAGGTGGTGAGGGGTGGGGGAAGACCCAGCCCAGCCCCAGCAGGGTGTTGGTGGAGCTGTAGAGCCCTCTGCACTGGTGGGAGTTTCCTGCAGGAGGGTGAGCAGAGGCTGGAGCAAGACCCAGTGAGCCCTGTTCCCTGAGGCTGGGGTGGGATTTGCCCAACCTGTGGCTGGAGCTGGTTTTGCCCAATAAAGCCCTTCCCCAAGTGGCTCTGTGGTTGGTTTGGGGAGGGTGGGGTAGACTCGAGGCTCCCAGGACTTGTAGCTTCACCCATGGGATTCCATCATCCAGCCCAAAAGAAGGGGGAAAAGTGATGGTTTCCCCCAAACTCTCCAACTTCCAGCCCTGCATCCTGCTCCTGGGTCCCTGCATGGCTGTGTCACCTGTCCCACCCAGCCTGTCCCTCCTCCTCTTCCTTCTGGTGGAGGTTCAGCTCCTGGTTTACAAACCAGTTCACCGAGTAGGCAGGAGGGAGCCCTGCCCCAAGGAAGGAGCCAGGAGAGCAGGGAGGGGTGAGGTGGCACCAGACTGGCTGCTGCCTCGGGCTGGGGTGGGGCAGCCACCTTTTTTTTGGTCCCACCACAAAACCCTTTGCAGACACAAAGGAACCACCCCTGGGAGTCCAGCCCCAGGTGAGTCTGATTCTCCGAGTTCTCCGATTCTCAAGCATAACCCAAACCAGTAAAAGAGCCACCAAACGGCAGGAGAGGCTCCTCCATCCCCAAATCCTCCCCGGGGTTGGCTTGTCCAGCCCAGCCCTGGCAGGGAACAGGATCAGTCTGACCCTTTGGACAACCCAGCAGGGTCACAGCCCGGGCTCCTGCTGCCCCCGTGGCTGCTTGGGGAAGCCATCCCAGAGTTGATCCAGGGAAGGGAGCCCCCTCAGCTCAGGGTTGTTTTCACCCTGGGCTCCTGCTGAGCTCCAGCACCTGCAGCCCCAGCCAGGCCCAGGAGCTGCTCCTCCCCAATGTGTTCCTGCAGAAAACCTCTTGGGAATCCACTTTATTTGCTCAAACACAAGTCCATGATGCAGAACGTGGAAACCCAGTGACCCCCAAGTGAGGTGGCACCTCTGCCAGCACCGAGCAGCCCCTGACCAGGCTCCCCCCAGGGCTCCCAGCACCCTGACAGCCCCTCCCTGAGGAGCCAGCGGTGGAGACCGAGGCTGCCAGGACATCCCTGAGCTTGGGGGCTGCCAAGAGGTACTGGGAGTCCCTCTGGGGACTGAGGGGTCCGTGAGCCCCAGCAGGGTTTGGGGGGCTGTTTTGGGATGCCCCCAGCACGGTGACAAGCAGCAAAGCTCCCTGCAGAGTGGCAGGAGCAGGATCAGTCCCCAGCTGTGTCCTCCAGCCCTGTCCCTGGTTAGAGCCACCAAAACAAGGAGGGACACAGGACACAGGAGTCCCAGCTCTGCGTGGCTGCAGATGTGACAACAGTGGTTTTACCCCTTGGGAGAAGGAGGATCTTGCGGTGGCTCAAGGCAACCAGCTCCTCCCAGTCCCTTCCCTTGGCTGTGGATGCATCAGGAGGAAGCAGAGAAGCGTGACCAGACACAGGACTTGGCAGGAGCTCCCAGCAGGACAGACGGACACGCAGCACAGGCACCTGCTGCAGATGTTGCCCTGGTCCCCTCTGAGCTGGGCTTCAGGGACAGAGAGGACACAGGAGATCACAGGCCCTGGAGCCCTTGCAGCAGCCATGGCTGTTTCCTGATGACAAAGAAGGATCCTGGGTCCTCTCCAGGGATCATCCCACTCAGTTGATGGGCTCATACTCAGAGTAGCGTTTCCTCTGGGCACAGAGGACCAGGCAGGTGCCCACCAGGAGCATCACCATGGGGGTGCCCAGTGCCACGGCCATGATGGAGATGACCAGGGGGGAGAAGGTGTCCTCAGGGGGCTGCCCAAAGCCCAGCAGTGCCGACCTGCAGGAGGGGATGAAGGAAATCAGCCATGGAGATGGGGAGCAGCTGTAACCCAGGACTGGAATATCTGAGGCTTCCTACCCTGACAGGGTCAGGTCAAGGTTACTTGGTAGGACCCAGGGCAGGAGAGGGTCTCCCAGCCTGGGGGAGGGAATGTGTCAATAAACTGGAAAGCTCCTTGCTACAGGATCACAAACACAGACTTCTGAAAAGTCTCAATTTGCCCAGGGAAGCTATGGCTGCCCCATCCCTGGCAGTGTTGAAGGGCAGGTTGGATGGGGCTTGGAGCAACCAGGGCTGGTGGCAGGTGTCCCTGCCCATGCAGGGGGGTTGGAACTGGATCAGCTTTAAGGTCCCTTCCAGCCCAAACCCTTCTGTGATTCTCTGAAAGGAGACAGTTACTCAACAGACAAACCCTCCACCCTGGCAGCTTCCCAGGGACTGGGAAAACATCGTTCCATGCTCACCAGCTCAGGTAACGTGTCTCCTGGTAAACCTCCCCATCCTCTCCCCCAAAGGAGATGTTGATGGCGCTGATGCTGTGGGTGCTCCCCACACCCTCCCCAAAGTAGGCTGGGATGATGCTGGACACGGGCAGGGTCCAGTTGCCCCCTCTCAGCCCCCGTGCCCGGCACTCGATGCCGTCCTGGCGCCGGGGGCTCCGGGACCCGTAGGCTGTCGCCTTCCACTGCAGGAAACTGAGCCTGGAGCTGCTGTTCTGGGCCTCGGCTTCCAGGGAGAGCATCTGGTGGAGGGAGAGCAACGGGTGGCCAAGGGAGGGCAGGGAGGTCTCCATGCCAGGCTGGCCCAGGTGCCCCCAGGCCTCGTGCTCACCTCAAAGATGGTGGGGGTGAACTCGTCGTCGATGGAGCGCGAGGAGCGCAGCTTCTGCACCACCCCGGGCTCCTCCACCGTGGCCACCTCCAGCAGGAAACGGGAGCTGTTGCCCCGTGGGGCCACCCCAGCCAGGACAAACTCCACCTTGGAGCTGTTTGCTGTGTGCAGGAGCCTGGGCAGGGGCTCGTCACGGCCGCCGGCCCCGTAGGCTGTGACCTGTGGGGGACACGGGTCAGGGGACACCAAGGACCAACGTTCCCTGTCCAGAAGGTGCTTGGGAGAGGGTGTTATCATAGAATCATGGAATGTCTTGGGCTGGGAGGGACCTCTGAAGGTCCTCTAGTCCAACCCCCCCACAATAAGCAGGGACATCTCCAACTAGACCAAATTGTTCAGGTTGCCTGACCCTGAATGTGTCCAGGGATGGGGCCTCCACCACCTCTCCAGGCAACCCATTCCAGAGGCCCACCACCCTCATATTGAAGACCTTTTTCCTAACATCCAACCTAAATCCACCCTTCTCTACCTTAAAACCATCACCTCCTGTCCCACCATCCCACGCCCTGGTGAGCAGCTCCTTCCCAGCCTCCCCGTGTGCCCCTTCCAGGTATCAGAAGGTCACTGCAAGGTCCTCCTGGAGTTTTCTCCAGGCTGAACAAGCCCAGCTCCTGTTCCCACAGCAGAGCAGCTGCCCCCCCAGTGCCAGGGGCTCACACGGAAGGCCAGGCTGCCATTGGAGAAGCTGCCCCCAGGATCAGAGGCCGGGACTCCCTCCAGCTCGGCCGTCAGCGCCGTGTGGTTCAGGGTGTGGTTGATGCTGCCCCAGGAGAACTCAGACAGGTCGTAGGTGGGGTAGAAGATTTCCTGCAGGGCTGGGGTCTGGCTGTACTCAAACACCTAGGGAGGAAGGAGGGGAGAGGGGCCATGAGATGTGGACACCACCAGTCTGTGCTATGGTCCATGGGCAGGAACTGCCACGGGGAGAGGGAGGGAACCAAACAGGAGCTGCCCTGGGCAAACATCTCAAGGCACCATAGAACCACAAAATGGTTTGAATAGGAAGGGAACTCAAAGCTCATCCAGTCCCACCCCCCATGGGCAGGGACACCTCCCAGCAGCCCAGGCTGCTCCAAGCCCCATCCAACCTGCCCTTCAACACCCCCAGGGATGACAGCTTCCCTGGGCAACCTGGGCCAGGCTCTCACCACCCTCACACTCCACAATTCCCTCCTCATGTCTCACCTCAATCTCCCCTCTTCCAGTTGTCATCCATTCCCCCTTGTCCTCTCATTCCCTGCCCTTGTCCCAAGTCCCTCCCCAGCTTTCCTGGAGCCCCTTCAGGCACTGGAAGCTGCTCTAAGGTCTCCCTGGAGCCTTCTCTTCTCCAGGCTGAACACCCGAACTCTCCCAGCCTGGCTCCAGAGCAGAGCTGCTCCGGCCCAAGGATCACCTCCATGGAATGACCATCACTGGAGACCACCAGGGCAGGACACACAAGGGGCCATTCTGCTGCAGCTGGGAAAGCTGAAGACCAACAGCTCTGGAACCCCCCATGTCCCCTCCACCTCGGGGCAGCTCTCCCAGAGCAAGGTCACCTCCCTCTCTGGTACCTTGGAGAAAACAACAGCAGCTGAGTAGACCACACTGCTGGGGGGATGGATCCAGATGGCACCTGCAGGAGTGGGCGAGAGCAGCTGGGTCCAGTTGATGTGCAGGGAGCTGCTCCTGCCCTGCGTGGCCACCAGCAGCACCGCGGGGGCCCCGATGCTGCTCCAGATGTAGTGCAGGGTGTCCCCAGGCCCCACGGCCTGCACGTGCAGCAGGTTCACAGAGGAGCTGTTCCAGCCAGGGTTGTACTGCATGGACACCTGCAGAGGGAGGAGAGGTCGTGGGTCTGGGTTGGGGCAATCTCAAGCACAAAGCCAGGCTGGGGGGAATGGATGGAGCAGCCAAGGAGAAGGACGTGGGGGTGTTGGGGCAGGAGAAGCTCAACATGAGGCAGCACCACGTGCTGGAGCCCAGAAACCCCCCGTGTCCTGGGCTGTCACCAGCAGCGTGAGCAGCAGGGCCAGGGAGGGGATTGTCCCCTCTGCTCTGCTCTGCTGAGACCCCCTGCAGGGCTGGGAACAGCTCTGGGGTCCCCAACACAGGGAGGACATGGAGCTGTTGGAGAGAGTCCAGAGGAGGCCCCGGAGATGCTGGGAGGGCTGGAGCAGCTCTGGAGCCAGGCTGGGAGAGTTGGGGTGTTGAGCCTGGAGAGGAGAAGGCTCCAGGGAGACCTTAGAGCAGCTTCCAGGGCCTGAAGGGGCTCCAGGAAAGCTGGGGAGGGACTTGGGCCAAGGGCAGGGAGGGATGGGATGAGGGGGAGGGATGAAAAGTGGGAGAGGGAGCTGGAGGTTGGAGCTGAGGAGGGAATTGTGGAGTGTGAGGGTCCATGGGGGGGTGGATCCTGATCCCTCCCAGCACAAACGAGTCTGTATTCCCGTGAGCGGTGTCAGGGGAGCTCGCCCCCCCCCCGCCACGTTCCAAACTTCGCATTTCCTGGTTCCAGAACAGCACAGAAGCTGCTTCCCCAGCAGCACCACAGCCCGGCCCGAGTGTTGCTCAACAACCTCGGTCACGGTTCCACATCCGGCTGCTCGGGAGCAGCTTCCCTGGCCAACCTGGCCCAGGCTCTCCCCACCCTCACACTCCACAATTCCCTCCTCAGCTCCAACCTCCAGCTCCCTCTCCCACTTTTCCTTCCAATCACCGCTTCCAAATTTCCATCCTGTTCTTTAACCCTCATCATTTGCAATAAGTTCTTATCAGAAGTTCCCCAGGACCCGATTCGCCTTGCTGGCCCGCCCCGAGGAAAAGCAGAGGGAAGAGAAAGGCTGTGAGGGAAGGGAAGGCAGGAGGGGGCGGTCAGAGGCACTCACCGGGGGGGCAGCAGCAGCAGCAGCAGCAGCAGCGGCGCGAGACCCGCCATGTTGGGATCTCACGTGACCGCCCCGCCGGCCCCGCCCCCTCCGGGACTCTTAAAGGAGCCGCCGCCCAAAAAATTCGGGAGGTGGGGCTGGTGTGGTGGGATCGGGTTAGAAGAGACCTCAAAGCTCATCCAGTCCCACCCCTGCATGGGCAGGGACACCTCCCAGCAGCCCAGGCTGCTCCAAGCCCCATCCAACCTGCCCTTCAACACCCCCAGGGATGGGGCAGCCACAGCTTCCCTGGGCAACCTGGCCCAGGCTCTCCCCACCCTCACAGCCAGGGATGGATGAAATAACTCGATTCTGGACTGAAACCTTGAGGAATAATTCAGCTTTTTCAGAATGATTTCTGCTGCTTCTCAGAAATCCTCATTTCTAGGAATTTAAAGTTCAGCAGTAGATGATGTTTTTCTTCTCTCCTGGGTGTTGCTTTTGCTCATTCTAGAGATTTAGTATTTAATGATCTGTTAATCACCTGATCAAAAGTGACTCGGTTAAAACAGACATTTCTAAAAATAGAATAAAAACCCCTCAGTGAGTCGTGGTCTGTGGGAGTGACATGAAACCCTGTGGCTTTGCCCTTCAACAGCAAAGTCACTGGTGGAAGGGAAAGACCAGGAAGGAAAGAAGCTGTTATTGTCTCCAACATCCCCCCTGGCCCCTCCACCCCGGGGGTCTCTCCTGGAGCCACCTGCCCTGGGGGCACCTGGAGGAGTGGACAAGGATAGCAAGGGGAGGACAATCCTGCTGGGGGGCCCATGCAGCTGGTGACCCAGGGTCCCACCCCAGGGTCCCACCCCATCCTGACCCACCCCCGGGCCCCCTGGCAGGACCCAGCCCCGAGCAGACCCTCTGCCATCACCCCCCCCCTCCCTGACCCACTGAAGGCACAACCAGGCTGAAATGAGGTGGTTTATTTTGGAGGCAACTCCAAGAACTTAACAGTCCGGAGACACGAAGCATCACCAGCATCTCCACCCCGAGGGGCCCTCAGGACACACCAGCCCTTTCCCCTCCCTTCTTGGGGTGGTTTTTGAATCCCAACCCTCCCAACCGACTTCAGACAAACACTCCCCCAGCTCCACCCCAGCACGGGGCGGTTCCTTCCCCTCTCACTCCTGGGCCGCCTCTGGCGCCGCCGCGTGTTTGCTCTGATCATCCCCCTTCTTTTTGTGCCCAGACACGATGTCATCGATGCGGAGCAGGAGAACTGCAGTCTGGGGAGAGAAACCCACGGCCCAGCTCCAGCCAGGAGCTCATCACCAGGAATGAAGCTCCCCCAACCCCCCAAACACCCTCTGCCTTTGGTGAAATGATCATCTGGGCAGGTGGAGGGGACTCGGTGCCTGGTGGAAAAGGGGACACCAATTGTGTCTCGTGTCCCTTCAAGGAGCTGCCTTTGCTCCAACACCAGCAAAATCTGCTCAGAACTGGATCCTCAACACAGAGGGGGCAGCTCAGGTGAGGCTGAGGGAGCTGGGGGTGTCCAGCCTGGAGAGCAGGAGGTGAGGGGAGACCTGCTGGCTCTGCAGCTGCTGAGAGGAGGTTGGAGCCAGGGGGGTCAGGCTCTGCTCCCCAGGAACAAGGGATGGGACAAGAGGAAAGGGCCTCAAGATGCCCAGGGGAGGCTGAGGTTGGATCTTGGGAACAATCACTTCAGTGAAAGGGTCATTAATCACTGGAATGGGCTGCACAGGGTAGTGGTTGTGTCTCCATCCCTGTTTAAGAGACTCTGAGGAGCATGGATGAGTCATTGGACTTAGTGGAGTTGGGTGATCACAGAATCATGAAATGGTTGGGTTGGAAGGGACCTTAAAGATCATTTAGATCCAACCCTCCCTGCATGGGCAGGGACACCTCCCACCAGCTCAGGCTGCACAAGCCTTATCCAACCTGCCCTTCAACACCTCCAGGGATGGAGCAGCCACAGTCTCTCTGGGCAACCCATTCCAGCACCTTCCTACCCTCATGGTGAAGAATTCCTTCCTCATGTCCAACCTCCAGCTCCCTCTCCCAGTTTTCATCCATCCCCCTCATCCCATCCCTCCCTGCCTTTGTCCCAAGTCCCTCCCCAGCTTTTCTGGAGCCCCTTCAGGCACTGGAAGCTGCTCTCAGGTCTCCCTGGAGCCTTCTCTTCTCCAGGCTGAACGTCCCAACTCTCCCAGTCTGCCGCCAGAGCAGAGGTTATGGTTGGACTTGATCATCTTAATGGTCTTTTCCAACCAGAACCATCCTGTGGTTCTGAGGCTGCTTGAAGGATCCCAAGGGCAAAAGCTCCCAGGGCCCTGAGCAGATTCCAGCACTTTGCTGGCACCAGATTTCCCACCCAGGACCAGGAGCAGCTCCTGCTCAGCCCAGCAAGCAGGAAAAGCTGGGATCAACACCGCAGATTTTAGCCACAGGTTCAAAAATTGAACCCTCCTGAAATCCCAAGTGGGAGTTCCTCAGGTGCTGCAGCCCCTCCCTCACCCCACAGCCCCCCCCTCCCAGACTGCAGAGCTCACCCCCTCCTCACCTCCACTGCTGTTTTGTAGGTCTGCAGTTTGACTGCCAGTGGCTCCCAGATCCCCAGCTCCTTCATGTCCATCAGGGCTCCAGTCTCACCATTCACCCCCCAGGTCTGGCTGCCTTCCTGAGTGTGCTTGGCCTGGAAGCAGAAGGACAAGTCACCACTGGGGGAGTGTGACAGCAAATCCACTTTCTGGAAACTCAAACCCACCTCAGACTGAGGAAAACAATAAAAGCTCATCAGAAGTTTCTCAATTATGGAGTTTTTACAAGAGACTGAGCAGCTCCTGAAACGAGGACCTCAGGAGTTACACTTGGAGATTTTCTCTCTCACACCTTCCAGTCCAATCTCAAAGGAGTATTTTTATTTTCTCCTCAGGGTTTTCTTGTTCCCTTTTTCAACTCCAGTGCCTCCATCAAGCTATGCAAATTCCATCTCCATGCTTAACAGATTTGGCACAAACCTTCACAAACAAGGTTTGCAGCCCAGCTGATGCAGAAAAGCCCAACAAGAGCCTTCCAGTCACTGGGTCACTTCAACAGGGATTTTCTGTAATGTAGAGGCTAGAGCTCCTGAGCTGCCCCCTCAAGGACCTGAGAAGCTGTTCCACCCCCAGAAGGGAAAGATGGTTGATGTGAGGGTGAGAC